CCCCTCTCCCTGTTCTCTGTGCAGATGGATTTTGTCCCTTCCCTGCACGGGTGTCCTGCTGGCACCCCTATCCCTCCCCCAGCCACGTTAAATCCCCTGCACACCCCTCAGATTCATACACAATACCCATTAATTACAAAACTCCGCTGACAGACAGCACGCTCTGTGGAAGGAGGGCGAGGATTAATATAGCAGGGGATATAAGAAATTAATTAGTTTCAGACAGACGACGTTGGCACCTCCAGTCAGCCTGATTTATTTCCACGGCTGCACTATTTTTGGCAAACTGCAAATGTTTGCTTCAATTTAAAGCCATAAATAGCCGGGAATGGAAGGTGAGGCCGCCACTAAAAACATTGTCCCGCTGGAGTGACGGAGGCTGAAATTTCCGGGGCAGCCCGAAGAAAACGGAGGCGGCCCGGTTTGGAGGAAAAGCTGCTGTGCTCGGAGCTCCCTGCATCCCGGCACGGTTGGCTCCGGGCCGCTGCATCCCGGGGAGCTGCGGGGAGAGCGGGGCTGCCCGGCCCGGGGCTGCGGCGGGGAGGAGCCTGAGCGGAACGGAGCGGAACGGAACGGAGCGGGGCGAGCGGCCGGTACCGCACCGCGTAATGCGGGAGCAGCGCTCAGCTTCCAGCACCGGCACCGAAAACGGCACCGCACCGGGTCCCGCAGAGCCAACGCTCCGCTTTTAGCTCCGGCACCGATATACCGATCTGATTCCAGCGCTAGAACCGACTCCAAAACCTCTCCGGTTCTTGCAGCTCCGGCACCGCTTTGCTTTCAGCACCGGAACCGAAACCAACACCGCATCGGCACCGCTTCCAACACCGCACCGCTTTCAACACCGCACCGCTTTCAACGCCGCACCGCTTTCAACACCGCCACCGGTATCGTTTCGCTTCCAACACCCGCACCTCCCCGCCCCGCACCCATTCCCGACCCCGGTTCGGCCCCGCAGCGCCGTCCCCGCCCGTCCCCGCACCCCAGCGAGGAAGGAGGAAGGAGGGGAGCAGCGCTCTGCCCGCGGTGCGGTGAGTGCGGGGCTGCTGCCGTGCTCGGGGGGGTTCTCAGCCTTTTTCGGTTTGGGGCACGAAGTGGTAAGGGAGGGGACACGGCAAAAAGTTGGAGGTGGAGGGGAGGGGGGGCTCAGCTGCACACCGAATGCTGGAGGAATTTCTGGAAGGGATCCCTGCTCGTGTTTTGGTGTTTCAGGGCTCCCGATTCAGCCTTTCTTTCAGTGGGGGTTGGGGGGGGAGGGGGGTGGGCACTCATCCATCCCTCCGGCCAAAAGTTCCCCAATGGGCTGAGCTGATTGCTCCTTGAGCTGCGTTTTTGGGGCTGTCAGAATGAGCTGTGCCTGTTGCTCAGATAAGTTCCTGGGTGTGCAACACCATCCCCAACACCCCCCCCCCCCCCAGGCCATAACCACAATCAATGTGTGTCTGTGCCGTGCCAGCCCTGTGCCAGTCCACCTTTAAACTGGCTCTTCTCTCTGCAAAAACAGATGCAATGAGCATGCAAGGCTGCTGGGCACAGTTGTGGCATTAACTCTGCAAGCAGCAGTCAGGCCTGGGGCTGTCGTGGTTTTTTCTTTTTGTTTGTCTGGGTTTTTTTTTTTTGCACTCTGCATTAACTAAATGCACAGCATGAGGTGTATATATGTGTGTGTGCTGGGGGTTGAGAAGATGCCCAAAAGGAAAGAGGTCTGAACAAACAGAGGGCAGAGAGATGTGCCTATGGATGAGATGCAGAAGGGAAAAATGCCTCTTCCAGGACCCTCTTCCTGCAAGGAAATAGGCTCTAATTACCTCCTGCATGGTAAAGGGGCAGTGTGTAGAGCTTTGGTGTGTGCTGACACAGAGCTGGAATGGGGTAAGTGCATGTGGAGTTTTGCCTGTGGCCTCACATGGTGATGATGGGGCATCTGGGTCACCCCGTCAGCACCGGTTCCTGTGATCCTGGAAAGATTTCCTTGATGCAAACACCAAACCATGCATCCTTTCCTCCCAGGAGTAGATACAGGCGTGTCAATGGGATGTGATGTGCTCAGGAGCTTGATGCAAGAAAAGGAGCAGAGGCAGGAACAGAAGCTGGGAACCTCTGAGTTCATCCTCTCTTAACTGCTTGAAAAAGAGAAGAAATGCTGTGGCTAAAGAGCAGCACTCCAGCAGTCTGCCTCTGCCCTTGGACCCATCCCTGCATCCCCACGTCTGAGTTCACCATCTGTTAACACTTGACCTTGCTTTGTTCTCAGAGTTTTGCTCCCTGAGCTCTGTAAAGCCCTGGGATGCTGGCAGAGATGGGCATGGAAGCACGAAAACATTTGTTTCAGTGCTGGGAGGGCCCCTTGCACCAAACAAGCACTCTTTGTGGTCCCTTGAATGGACCCTTCAGACAGGCAGTGCTGAGCAGTGACAAAGAGCAAAGTGGTGGTGTCACATATTCATGCATTACAGGTGACTGAAACGCAGCAGGCGTGCCCTGCCATTCTGAATCTGCAGCTCCTGCTTTTCACACACGTTTATTGCCATGGTTCTGCGTTGCTCATCACAGCTGGGCACGGGCTGGGCTGCAGGAGGAGATGGGTTCTGCTTTCTGGTGCTGCCACTGGACAAGATAGATGACAACAGCTTCGTTTTGCATCTGGGAGAAGCGGAGAGGTGAAATGGTTTCCTCCAGGTGCTGCAGAATTTTGCTCTGACTCCATGAGCATCCCTCCTTTGCTCGGTCCCCTGACTTAGGGAGGCAGAAACTTGTGTATTTACTTCATGTATGCATTCAAACATCAGTGCTTCAGTTTCCACTGAAATTATCCCTTAGGCCTGGGCTGCTGGAGAAAAATCACTGCTCGGCCATTCCTTGTAAACCCTGAGACATTCCTCTGGCTTCCTCACAGTGCTGAGGTTTGGGCCAGGAGCTCTGAGAACCTCCAGAAAACCTGAGACACGTGTTTGGAGTCGCGTCCAAATAACCAGAGGAGTTTCCAGGAGGGTTTATGCTCTGTAAAGGCCTCCCACGCTCTCATTCCATGCTCAGGAGAGCTGAGGCGAAGCAGCATCTCCCTGGCATTGGCAGCAGGACAAGGGTCCCTGGGCCAGCTGCAGAGCTTGGAGTGAGTTTTGCTGTGGGTAATTGGTGCACTGAAACTCTGAGAGGTCACCTCTGCCACTGCTGCACAGCACAGGCTCGGTTTACATCCATACAGGCAGAAAAACAAAAGGTCTGTGCTTCCAGGGGCCCCTGCTTTAAGCAGGCTCTGCCCATGCAGGAGTCCGACATGCAGGATTTGCTTTGCTCCCACTTCACTCACTTCTGTTTGTAGAGGGAAAACCGACAGCAGGGAGAGCGACCTGTTGATGAATGCAGACGTGAAAAGCCCAGATTACAATCTGGCAAACAGTTTTTGCAGAGTCGAACTGTAATCAGACGAAGCATCTTTTGCTCTCCGTCTAATCGAGGTTTCTTTTCAGGTAGCATTGTGCCTGCAGCCAGTGCTGCTCATCTGGTTGTTTGCTCAGCCTCTTGCAATCCTGTGCTGCTTTGTCTGGCCAGCGTGGCTCAGCCAGGAGAAGTGAAGGGCTGAAATTGTTTTCAAGCCACAGAGCAGAGCCTGCAGAGATGGCTGTGGGTTCGTCTGTGCAGCTGACAGCGCTCCAGCATCTCAGCTCCCCTGTTCTTTGTCTGCCTCTCTCCTTTCTGAGGCTTAGCCATGCTTTATCTCCAGTCACAACCAGAGAGCTGTATTCTCTTACCTTCTGGGTTTTCTCACTGCGGTAGGAATGAGCTTCAAGCCACCACAGCTAAGAGCAGATCTTTGCAGGCGGTCCAAGTTCTCCCCATTCCTGCAGCGAAATGCCCACAGATCTCAGCCTGAGCAGCAGCTGGGCTCTTGTTCACATTCCCTCTTGTGCTGAATGTGTGATGACCCACGGTTTTAAGAGCGCAGGCTGTGATGTTGGAGGGAGCTCCAGGCTTTGGAGCTGTTGGAGTTGGAGCTGTTGGTGTTCCTATGCCCCCATCTGACACCAGGCACTGCCCTTGCTATGCTGGGAGGATAAATTGTGCTCCTGCTGTGGAACTGGGGGCTGTTTGACCTGCTGATTATTGCTCATTGCTTTTTTTGGGAACCAGATCCCCCAAGGCAGCTCAGGTGGAGGTGTTTCAGAGCATCTCTGGCTGCACACACTGCGTTGAGCCCCATGCTGTTCTTCCCTTCTATCTCCCCACGCAGACTGAAATCGAGGGCATTCTGAAGCAGAGGCTATTTCTCACTGCTGCCTTTTGCACCCTTGATCCCCAGGGCCAACGTAATGAAAATCATATATTATCCAAGGAGCAAATTGGTGAGGCAGTGCTGTCGGTGCCTGGTACTGTGGGAACGTGCAGGGCTTTGCTGCTTGTGGTGCAGAGAGGAGGAAGTAAACCAGGATGGAGCGGGGTGAGATTTGCTGCCCTGTCCTCAGTGCACGGGGAAGAGATGCTATCTTTGCTCGATCCAGTGAATTATTTGATAAGTGCTAACCTTTGCTGGAACCACTCAGGGCTGTGATTTATGATCCCTATTGGGTGTAGCTGCAAACCCCCCAGTGTCTCCATCTCCCCCTCTTCTCCCCAGCACTGTCTGCTCCTGAAGCCAACTGTGCTGCTGAGCATCTCAGTTACATGTGGTGTATGAATGGGAGCCTGAGCTCTGCACCTGTGTAAATACACGTGCATAAAAATCCACATGGGGGGTGTTTTTCCAGCATGGAACATCACCTGGAGGTTGGGTTTATGGCATGGCTTGAAATGTTTGGAGGAAAGGCTCGTAGGCTGTCAGATTATGCAGTGCTGGAGCAAATGCCACCAATGTGCAGGTGCTGGAGGTGTGGATCCTGCTAGCAGTGCTGCCTTGGATCCTTTTTCAGGCTCTATAGCTGGTTTGAAGGGCACTGCAGCAGCAGAGTTGTCCTCTTTTCACCCAGGAAATGTCCTCCCATTGCATCTGCCCCTGTCAGGAGGTTAAACTCCGCTCTGCCATGCTTCACCAAGCTCTCAAGTGGTGCAAATCAGCACTGATTGCTGAAGTCAGCCCTCAGCAGCACACAATGCACGGCCCTTCTGTCATCATCAGGGCTGCGAGCATCACAAATCCCCTCAAGTTTCATAGCAGGGTTGAACTGTGTTGGTGAGTCCTGCCCCATCCCCATCCCTCTCATCCCCATCCATGGGATAATGGCCAAATCCACGGCACATCTGGTGGTGAAGTGTGTTGGCTGTCCTGCAGCAGGCAGCAGTCAGAGGGGTGAGAACTGCCCCTGTGTTACTGTGGGCTGAAAAACCTTTCTGGCATCCATGCCTCAAATTGAAGCAATGATTAAAGCTGTAAGGAAATCCACATTCAGCCTAAGGCACGTCGTGCTCCTTCTGCTACGGATGTTCCCAAGGGCTGGTCAGCTTGTAATTATTAACTAATTACTGCAGAATAATCACAGTGCCACAGCACGTAGGAGGTACAGGCGGTGTGGAACACGCTGTGTCTCACAAATCCCAACCCATTCTCATCTGTCCTTTGTTTTTAGCCCATTGGGGTTGGTATCTGATGGCAGCAGTGCAATGCACCGAGGTGGCCTGTGGCTGCATGCAGCTTGGTGCTGGCATTTGGGGGACTGAAGGGCAGTGTTCCCTCTGCAGGGAGCAGCTGTGGCCACGAGGAGGGCCTCCTTGGCAGGATCCTGCTTGGAGGTGACCGCATCCAAAAGCAGATCACAGGTTTGCCCCTACAGTGAGAGCATTGATGCTGTGTGTTGTGGCAGCAGCCAGAGGAGGGAAATGAGCAGCCCTGAGGATGAAAGGCTCTGTGCATCCCAGCAGCAGGTTGGGGGCAGGCTGCTGGTGGTGTCACACTGCAGGGTCTGCCCATGGTGACACATATCCCAAGCAGAGCTGAACATCCTTTGGGATCCCATCAGACCCAGGGGACCACGCAGAGCCCGTGGCACTCCTCCCTGCTGATGGGGCCAGAGGCCAGCACAGCACTGGTGTGTTCTCCTTTTTAGAAGAAGAGCAGAGTCTGGAATGTTGCTTATCACAAGGAAACCTCAACAGAGCCACGCTGTGCTGCAGGCACTTCCATCCCAGGGTTGCCTCCAGCTGCCCTGCTCCAAAGAGCCACGAGGTTTGCTTTTCCACTTGTTTTACCACTGATTTGAGGCAGAAAACTTCTCTGTGTGGGTCTGAGTGCTTCTCAGCATCGAGAGCTGCTGCTGTGCCCATAGCACAGGGACGTGGGCATTTCCTATGTGCAAGAAGTCCAATGGAGAGCCTCTTCAGCTCCATGAAAACACAGCACCGTAAGTGCAGGAGAAGGCGCGTTTTTATCAAGTACCATTAGCAGCATGTGTTCTATTTAAATCCTTAATCCCTTCCAATCCCACCTTATTAACGATTAATTGTGCAACTAATCGCGCTATGATAGCAGCGGTGCGGGCGCAGGTTGTTGTTGTGCACACTGCAATGTGAAGGAGGTAAGAATTCAGCCGTGCGCTCAGCTTGGCTCACGCACTGGCCAGACCTCCTTTCCTGTCCCTTCAGCTCTCAGAGTTTTGATCCTTTCTTATCTCGAAGCTTATCAGCTCTCGGGGCAGGAGAGGAACAGAGCTGAATGCAGGCAGTGAGCTTTGAACGCTGCTGTGCTGCAGCCCTTCATCCTGCTGAGCTCGGAGTCCCCTTGGCTCAGTGCCTGAGCACCACGTGGATCTGTGGACACGGTTTGATTCGGGGCTGAAACAGAACTGTTTCAGGATGTGCTCCCATGGCCCCCTCCCTCCACTCAGTGTTTGCTGCACCCATTTCTGCACGGCAGCATCCAAGGAATGGGTCTGGCTGTGTGTTTTCCTGCACGAGGTCCCTCCCTCCTTCGTTCCCTTGATCTCTGCAGGGCTCTGTTATCTCCCCCACTTCCCAAGGCTGCTGCAGGAATGCTCAGAGCTCACAAGGACACCGGAGCAGTGAGTCTGGAAATGGGGCAGGGAGCGAGGAGATGGATGGGAGTGAAAAGGTGAGGCTGGAGAAAAGAGAACCAACCATTCAGGGTGTTAAAACCCACCGTCTCCATTGCTCTGCCTGCTGTGCTCATGGTGACACTGCGACTTTGAGGGCGCCGTGCTGGGGCTTGGCTTGCCAAAGCAGACATTATTTACAGTTTAACAAGGAACAAGGTTTATCTGAACAGCGTGTGCTCGCCGAGTTCCCAGATAGTCATGAAATGTTGCCCTCCATAGGGAAGTGAGCAGAAAACTGCGGGCACCAGGGTGTGCTTAATCTATTTCTATCTATACCTGGGATGCAGGCAGGTCCGGGTTGGGTTTAATGGGATCGTGTCATGATGGTGGGAAGCTTCCTCCAGGAGGTGCAGAAGGATGGTGGGATCCTGAGGGGCAACACTTGGGTGGAGCAGGAGCTCTGCACGCCTCGCCTTGGGATGCTCAGTGCTTCTGTGTTATTCCTGCCCTCTGCGTGGCCTCAATGCTGGTTTTCATGCTGTTGCCCAACCCCGGGCTCTTTGTAAAGTGGAAATGCTTTGTGTGCAGAAATCAGGAGCTCTTGTATCAGCACAGAGATCTGAGAAGCAGAGGGGTGAAAGGAGCGCTCGGCTCCCTCCAAGCAAAAGCTGAATGTTGAAAGAGGGAGGGAGCATCCGGGTGAGAAATGCATGCACACGTGTGTGCAAAGCCCTCCGAGGTGCACAACAGGTTTAAGATTAAATAGCAGCTTAGTGCAGCCCTTGGCAGGAAGGGGACTTGCAGTGTTTGCTCACTACCTTGCTGCCATGTGACTATCCCAGAGCTTTAAATAAAACAGATTTGCAAAGAGTTTTATGTGCCTAATGCTGAGCCGTGGTACTGCTGCTCCAGAGTGTGGTCCTGGGGGGGAACCCAGCTCAGAGCTGTGCTGGAGTGGGGAGAAATAGGTCAGGAGCACCGTTTGCATGCACTTCTTTCACTGTTGCTGCACAAAGATCTGTGTGAGTGCAGCAGGGAGCTGCTTCATTAGTGCCAACGAGCTCCTGGGTCTGAGTTTGCCACGGTCAGAAGGAGACTTAATCCCTCCGAAGCTGTTTGCACAGTCCCTGCAGCTCCTCCTCCCATTGCTGGGTGGGCAGAAAGTGCCTGACCGGGTGCTGGAGGCATGCAGAGGGGTGCAGCTATGTGCAGCAGGTGAGGGCTGGGCTGTTTGGCAATGCAATGTGTTGGAGCAGAGCAGAGCTCCTCGCAAATGCGTTGCTTTGGGTGCTGGTGGTGCTTCTTAGAAACGCTGTGCTTCTGTTTGTGTTCAAGCCGTTTCTCTGGGAAGAGAGATCCTGTGATAGCATGGGCCCTTTGCATGGCTTTTTGCATCCTTCCACCTATTTGTTGCTGCTCCTTTCTGTCCCACCCTCCCTCCCCATTTCTCCTTGTGCCAGAGGTGGCTGCATTTCTCAAATTCCACGCGGCTATGGGGTGTGCAGGGTGTGCTTTCTGCTTCCTTAAATAACCCCTCGCAGAATGCTTGCAGCCATTCCCTGCACAGCTGCAGGGCAGCAGCTCTGAACCCCCCTCCCCAATGCCTTTGTCAGCAGTGGATGAGGCCGTGAGTCATGGGAAGGAAACTGCAGTGTTCTCTGTTAGACAGGGAAGGCTTCCCCTGCTCCCCCTGTGCTGCTTTCCAGGAGCTCTGGGAGTTGTGTGTGGGCTGAGAAAGGAGGGAAAGCTTTAATTAAGAAGAGGGGAAAAAAAAAAAAGAGAGAGAGAGAATAAGGAAATGGTAATTAAAAAGCCAGCAGACCCTGCGTGCACTGTGGGGAGGGAATGCAGGTGTGCCCTAATGCAAGGGATCTTCTCCCATAGGGTTCCCCAGAAGCTCAGTGCTCCCAGAGCATCCTTCACCCCCAGGGTCTGTGCCCTTTTTCTATATCCCTGCTGTGCATCCTGGTGCTCCTGAAGGGCTGAATGGAGAAAAAGAGTCACAGAAAAGGGGGAGGATAACTCAATACCCTGCAGCAGCGCTCGGTCTGTCGGAGCATGGGATGTGCTGATCTGTGGGGCAGGGGCAGTACCATAGGGCTGCTGACACCTTCCAACAGCGAGGGCATTGAGATGCTGCAGTGCACGCAGGCCACTGGCACTCTGTTGTGGCTGCAGCCCAATGCTGGGCAATGCTCTCAGGTTTTGCTCCAGCGAGGAATAAACACGCAGTGTTTTGTGGCAGCTGGAATAATGTGGGTTGTTCTGGTGCCTTCCTGGGAGCTGCCCTGATCTCACCACCGGCCGGGCAGAGCTGAGAGCATCACACAGGGCTGTGGTGTGGCAGGATTGGAACAAACCCCTCTGTGTGCCCTCATTACTGGGCTCCTTGTTGGGATGGAGACAAATGGGAGCGGAGCTGCAAGCAGAGCAGCTTTGCATCCCACAAGAGTCTCATCGCCGAGGAGAAGGGAGGAAGGATGCATCACCATTGATTATTTACAGTGGGAGGAAAGCAGTGCACGCTGTGAGCCGGATTGGAAGCCAGCCTTGTGCATTTACTGCAGGATCATTTCTCCTCCCAAATCTCCTTTGAGAAGAGAGGACAGAAAACTCCTGGCTGCCGTCATTGCATTCCTGGTTCTCTGCATTTCTTCTATTGGCTTCTGTGATTACAGGAGAGGAAAAGATTGCAGCACAAGGGTGGATGGATGAACTCCCTGGGGACCCAAAGCTCCATTTTCAATTCTGTCCAGCACAGTCGCCGCTGTGGGATGATGTGGGATGATGTGGGAGGCTGTGCTGCTTGCTGCAGGGCTGCTGCAGATTGGTAGGAACTGATTGTGCTCCCCTCCTGTAGGACAGGGTGCAGAGCTTTGCTCCCTGCGTGGGGGAAGGGAAATGTCAGAGCTCTACATAGCAGAGCTCAGCATCAGGGAGGAGCTGGGAGCTCTGTGTGATGGGCAGGGACTGCTGCTTGTCCCAGGGTGCAGGGCTGTGCTGGCCCCTGGAGCAGTGAATGAATGGATTTGGGCTGTGCTCTGCTCTGCAGCATCTGCTGTAGGGTGGGAGCAGCCAGGAGAGGATTCCACGCCAACAGCTGAGCTGGAGAATGGACGGTGGGGGGCTGCTTTCCTTCCCTGCCCCACTGGATTCCCAGCTGCTGCAGAGCATGCAGCATCACCTTTCTGCATGTCAGTGCTGACTGTTGCCTCCGTGCCTTGCTATGTGATGTGAGGAGGGCCACGTCCTCACCTGGCTCCTGCACACACCGTCTGCTCGACCCCATGGCCACGTGTGGCTTTGCATAATAGAGGTGTTTGTTGAGCAAATAGGGCTCTACCAGCAGAAGTCACCATTTCCCTTAAGTTGTTTCCTTGTTCGTGGAAAGGAACGGTTACTTGCAAGCCCAGCAGTGTGCTGAAGGAGGAAAGGGAGAGCTTCATATTGAGGCTGTGCCCCAAATACATGGCTCTGAAGTTGTACAGAGGAGAGCTGAAGAGTTTTGCTGTACAAAGGGAAGCGATCCATGCGCACAGTCCCATCCCCAGTGCCTATGGGAGCAGTTTGCTGAACGCATCACTGCAAGTGCAGCAAATACAGCTTTGAATGCAGTGCCTAAAGAATTGTTAACACCCAGTCTCAGTCATGTGATTCGTTTTCCTGACGGGATGCAGCTTTGGGCCCTTTGAAGTGTTTTAGTTACTATCTGCCTGTGTTACAGCAAATGGGGATCATTCACACTGCTGGCTTTCATCCTGGCTTTTCTTCCTGGCCAGCTTCCAGCCGGGGTGATTTCATTTCTGCCTGTTGATGCCTGAATTCCTTCGTGCTGTTTCAGACCACTGCTCCCCTCCTCGCTCCATCCCAGGGATGGTTGCAGCTCAGGGCTGTTCCAATTCCCGGCTGATTTGAGGCTGTAAAATGAGGGATGTCACTGCTTTGCTTAGCAAACATCACCTTCTTGCAGGAAGTCACAAAGTGCCCCCGCTTCCTTTAGTGCACTGCTGCTAAAATTGATGGGATGCAGGCAATGGCAAGCGGTTCTTCCTTTGAAATCCATAGTGTGGGAAAGGGCCGGGCTGCTCCTCTAGCTGGGCTGCCTTCTCCTAGGGGAAACACAGTCACAGGTTGTCCCTGGTGGGGGGACAAAGCCCCTCACACCCTATATGGGGTCAGGGTACCGTCCTGCCTGCAGGGCTGGGAGCAGGGATGTGGGATGCTGTGTGCTGGGGGGAGCGCATCCCAACTTTGGGGCACCTCGTGGCCAAGCAGGGCAGGGTGAGCTCAACCAAAAAGCACAAACAGCCCCGCAGCCTCCTTATGACAAACCCTTTCACATGAACCCCATCACCAGATGCCAAGTAGGTCCAGGTGAAGCTGGAAAAAAACAGTGCCAATTACGCAGAGCCATAAAGATAAGGAGCAGCCCTGTGCATAGCAGGAGAGGCAGCCACTGCTATTTTTACCCCACCCCGCTTCCTCTCCGAGGAGGTTTATATTTAGCAGCTGCTGGGAGGGAGGGAAGGACTCAGAGTGATCTGCAGCATCAATTCATTGCTCAGGTGTTTGTCTTCTAAAGCTTTGGTACCCCCTCACCCGCTTCTTCCTCCACCTCCAGGTGGAATATCTGGGTTATTCCCTGTGTTTTCCCTGGTCCTGGGGCTGTGGGGTGTTGTCCTGACTGTCCCCTGCTGCTCCCTGCCAGGACTTTGTCCCAATGCTGTGGGCTGATTGGTGTCAATGGGCACGGCAGGCATGGTGAAGTGATGGAGGGGCTGCAGTGTCCCTCATCGAAGAGCAGGATCTGTTGTGCCTGGAGGAGACGAGGCTCAGGGGGATCTGATTGACGTCTACAAGAATCTGAAGGGATGATGTTCAATAGGATGGGGTCAGACTCACCTGTTGGTGGGCTCCAATGAGAAATGGGCACAAACTGAAACGCTGGAAGTCCCATCTGAAGGTGAGGTGAATCTGGATCAGGCTGTCCAGAGGGGATGTGGAGTCTCCTTTCTCAGAGATACATCAAAACCATTGGGATGTGATCCAGGGTGATGTGCTCTGCTGATAAGGGCTTGGGTGATGTGACCTCCATTGGTCCCTCCCAACTTCAGCCATTCTTGGCCACGAGGAAAGCATCCTTTGTTAATGCAACATTCATTGGTGTCAGCATCTTGGTCATCAAAGCACGTCCCTGCAGTGCTGAGAAAACATTTAAATGGCTGATGGATGTGCCTAGCATCCTCCTTACTCACTTTGCAACTCCAAACATCCTCACGCCTCCCATCCTGCCTCGATCCCGGGCACACTGATCCTTTAACTGTAGGGTTTTGCATCCCTAAAGGTGTGCGAGGAGTGGGGTGGCTGAGTCCGAGTGGTCCAGGTGAATCCCAAGGATTTGGGGGGACGGCAGCACAGCGGGAGGCCGTGCCTCGAAGCACTGTTTGCATTGCTGATGGTAATCTTTTAAGCTTTCGGATGCCAGCATGTCAACCCAAGTGTTCCCGTTGCCCTGGCGACGCGATGCATCGGCTCTGCGATGCTGTGTCTGATCGCATCAGTCTGGAATGCAATCACCAGGGTTTGTGCTGACCAGCCTGGGGTAGGGGGGGGGGGGGGCTGGGGGCTGGCAATTGGGCCACCCAGGAGCAGGGTGTTTGGTCCCAAGGGCTGAGTTCCCCCTTACTGCCCCCTCCTCCCCCCTCAGAGCCCAGCAGACAGGTTAGGGTTAGGGTCTGCAAGGAGGGACCTCCCTGTGTTGGGGAGACATTGATGTCTGCAGGTGCAATTCTGTTTGCTGGGAGCAGGACTGTGTGTTTCCACTGTGCTGCAAAATGCATGGGGGAGAGCAAGGCTGGTGCTGCAGAGCCGTGTGCTCCCACTGTACGATTCCTCCTGGTGCTGTGTGTGAGCCTGAAGCAGGCAAGCAAGGTGGGGATGCCGAGAGCGAGCTGCTCGTGTGGCTGCTCAGTGGGCTGTGCCACGTGTCCCTTAAGGGTTTTCTTCGTTTAAGGGTTTTATGGCTTTCATCAGATCTCTGGCTTAAGGAGATCCCAGTGCCTCATATCCCACATCCCAGGATGTGAGTCATTGGGAGCATGCTGAGCTCGGAGCATCACCCTTTTTTGGGACCCCCCTGTTGGTCCAGCTCCTCCTAGCACTTTGGGAAGCTTTTCTTGCATAGGGAAAGTGTGGAGAAAAGGCTGCCAGGGGAAATGTGTGCCTTGCACAGGATGGTATTACATCTTTTCTGTCACTATTTATTATTCTTTCTCGCTTTTCTTCTGCTTCTGTCCTGCCATCCCCTTTTCCAGGCATTCCTAGAGTTTCCAAGCACAGCCCATGCTCACACCCATGACTCAGTGTCCACGGCTCTGCCCTGGGCTCACCTCTGGCAATTGGCTCAGAAAATCCCCGTGCATTCAATGACACAAAGATCCCCATCCCCTGCTGATGCCCAGGGATCCCAGTGAGGGAACCCACGTGGATTTGGGTGCTGCAGACCCCGATGAGGGTGGGCTGTGGGACCTTCCTACCCTACAGCCACCTCTTTCCCCTTCCCCGCAGGTCAGGAGGTAAAATGAACAAGATGAAAAACTTCAAGCGGAGGTTCTCACTCTCAGTTCCTCGGACGGAGACCATCGAGGAGTCGCTGACGGAGTTCACAGAGCAGTTCAACCAGCTCAACAACCAGAGGAATGAGGGTAAGGGGTTGGGACCTGGAAAGCTGTTGCCCCACTGCCTGCTTACCCTATGGAGGAGTTAAATCTGCTCTGAAGAGGGATTTACACCCACAGAAGGAAAGGAGGAGGGCAAGGCGTTTGCACAGGGGGATGATACATCTGTGGTTAAGGTGGGGAGTGTGAAAGTGGGGGATGCCCACCCCTCCCCTGCCAGACCTACAGCCTTCTTCTGGTGCAGGATTCAAGGCGTTGGGTTCAGAGCAAGGCTGGGCAGGCAGAGAGCAGAGAAGCTGCAGACAGCAAACCTGGTGGAGCCGGGCTGAATTCCCCCAGGGGGAGCAGAGTGCTGCGGGTTCAAGGCCAAATTGCCTGCAGTATCACATCGTGTGCTTTGCCACCTCCTCCCATAGCAGCCCTGACATGGGTTCAGTGCTCTGGGCTTCACTCAGGTCGTGCTGGTGCTTTTTTTTTTTTCCCTTCCCTCGTCCTGCAGCCACAATTGCTGCAAGCAGGGGCTGAGGCTGTGATGTAACTGCCTGGCAGTTCTGCCTGCCCCAGCAGGGAGGGATGGGCTCTGCTTCAAAGTAGAGATGCAGAGGCTGATTTGAGCTGCCTTTCCTCTCTCCTGCAGCTCATGCCACTCCTCAGATCCCCGCAGATGCCCCAGCTGCCCTCAGCAGCATCTCTTCACACCCCTCCCCTCGCAGCCCAGCAAACAGCTGGGGCTATAATTAGACTCGAGCCCTTAATTAGACGTGTAGAAGCCGTGGGGATAACATGGTGCAAGGCTCAGAAAGCTGCGGGTGCTGACAGCTGCTGCTGCTGTTACCCCCTGGGGCTGCTGGGTGCTGGGCTGGCTGAGCCTGGGCTCATTACCTGTGCTGTGCCAGCTGGAGAGGCAATTTCCCTCTTCTTCTGCTTTAATGAGCCTTTGGTCACAGCACTTCCTCTGCAAACCAGTGTGTGCAGCAGCTGCCTGTCCTCTGCCTTTCGGTCTCTCTCCTGAAGGAGGTGGGGAAGAAACAGGGCAAAGCCAAAGTTGGCTGTGCTGGGGCTGAGGGCACTGGGCAGAGGCTGGACCGGTGCTTGGCAGTGCTGTGCTGTGATCAGATTGCCCTGCATGGAGCTGGGGATGCAGCAGAGTGTGGGAGCCACCTGCCCACAGCCCCGTGTTGGAGCTAAGCCCTCTGCCATAGCTGTGTGCACACTGCTCCTCCCTCTTGGGTGATGTTCTTTGGGATGTAAAAACCCCCAAAAGTCACCTCCATGGTGCCCCTAATCTCAGCCATGCACCTGACCCATCTCCTGGCTTCTCCCTATAGCCAGGAATGCTTCACCCACAGATCAACACCAGCATCAGTTTGTTTTTTTTTCTTTTCTCACCTCACACAGCACCATGGGAAGCTGTTTTCAGGTTCTGTTTTCCCTCCAGCATCAGAGCTCATAGGTTGTCAACACTCCTGGGTCACAGCAGACTCTGCTTGGGTGTCTCCACGTATCCCCAGGGATGCAGAGTCCAGGAGATGGGATGCTCCAACAGAGCATGCAGTGGCAATGGGAAAAGATGTGGACTTCCCATGGGTTGATACCCACCTCCATCACTGGGGTGTGGAAGGGGATCTCCAGCCCTGTGTTCTCCATCCTCAGGGCCCCACTGCCAGCCATGAGGGCTGGTAAAGGGAGGTTTGGGGAAGCAGAGCCAGCGAATGGAAAAGCAAACAGCTTCCCAGTGTGGGCACATCCTGACCCAGGCAGTGTCACCCTTGGGAGCCCAACGCAGCCACAGGGTGTCCGATGTGCCCCCACGCTGCCACACATCTCCAATGTACCACAGCTTTTCCTTGGGTAGAAGAAGAATCCTGGGTTAAGGAGAGCTCTGGGCAGCATCTGATCCTTGACGAGGGCCTGCACCATTTCTGAGTCTTCAGAGGCCAAACAAGGGCTCGTGCAATGGCATAAATCAGAGCTAAGCTTGGCCGTCAGAGCACAGGGATGTAAAGCAGCAATGCTGTGTGGGAGGAAGGAGGATGGATGACCCACCATCCGAGCTCTGCCCTGCCTTGAAACAGCTTTGAGAGGAAAGCTCATGCTTAGCAAAGTAATTAAAAGTTCTGAGCCATGCAGGCAGCGAAGGGTTCTGGCCCTTTTCCTTGGGAGATCAAAGCTTGTTTTGGCAGAGGCAGTGTTTAAATATATTTATATTAAAAAAAGAAAAAGAAAAAAAAAAGAAGACAGAAGCAGCTGCCGTGTCTGCGGTCTCGCTTTCATTTGCTTTGATATCCCATGCAGCCTCGTTACTTGCAGGGTGTCAGAGCTCACAGTGATCCACACAAAATGCTGAGCAGAATGGAACAGACCCCTGCATTTGCACACCTGTGTGATGCTGCTGTAGATGGAGGTGGCACTGAGGCTGGGTGCAGACACTGCTCTTATTTGCTGCTCCTGGAGCCAGGCTGCATCCCTGGATGTTGGATTTGTACTTATTGTACTGAAGGCCCAGCACAAGTTTACCCAAACTGTCTTTTAAAGTGGATGAGTTGAACTACGATCGTTCTGATGTTGCTCTTTGTGTTTTAGTTCAGATAATTTGCTTAGGACAGGAGCAAGGTGAAAAGGGCTGATCTAGCTTAAGTGATCCCTGTGCTTAGTGCAGGGCAGGGTTCTGAGCTGTGCCTGCACAGATGGCCAGAAAGGGACAGGGACCAGAGCCCTGCAGTGCTCCTGGGGGAAGGGGTGCTCTGTGCCTCCCTATCCAACCCTACAAAACCTCCTGGCGTGGTTTCAGCTGCTGCCAGCCCCATTGGCATGGGCTGCACCCCTACCATGGGCATAGGCTGTCTGCAGAGGGCACCCCGCATCCCTTAGCTCACAGATCCCCTTGTATACAGTGACCATGGCAGGAAACTGCATTTTTTCCCAGGTCACTTGCCTGTCACCTCTCATCCATCAGATGAGCAATGAGCAGCCAGATCCCAGCCCTCCTGCAAAAGCCAGCCATCCCCTTCCATCCTCAGCAATGAGATCATCTCTGGCTGCAGAGCACGCGGGGAATGGAAGCCCAAATCTGCATTAGGGACAGAGAGGGATGGCCTCCATCCCAGCACTCCCAGTTTGCTCTGCCTCCTCCATCCCAGCACTCCCAGTTAGCTCTGCCTCCTCCATCCCAGCACTCCCAGTTAGCTCTGCCTCTGAAAGCCCCTCTGAAAGCAGCCCCTTGTGAATGGGGGAAATGCACTTCCTACCAGCCAGCCATTAATTACACAGTGGGAAGATGTGTGAGCCTCAAGCTGTGGATCAGGGGGAGCTCAGTGCCTCATTTTACTCTGGTTTTGGTTTTTTGTTTTTGCTGCTTTCTGGGTTCTTTGGGCTGGATGTGGCTTCACACCTGGAGTCCCATGAGAAGAGTGACTTTTAGAAGTCGCTTTGGTTTTCAAGGGAGCTTCTGTGTTGCTCAGGGCTGTGTGTGGCTGAGTGCAGCAGTGGAGCAGGATGGGAAGGGACTTCCTCATGGCCTTGACGCATCTCTGAACCTCCCTGCCCTTTTCTCTCCCTTTTCCCCAAAGCAAAGCGTTCGGCACCTCCGCTGCCTCCCAGCATCTCTCCCTCCTTTCTCTTTGTCCTCAGACCTGGCCCAAGGGCACTTGCAGCTGGGACACCTGGGCAGGGACATCGGAGCAGACCCCACAGCCATCTCCCCACCCAACACAGAGGGTCCATCCCCGATGGCCGTGCGCTACCGCAGCAGCACCCAGCGCCGCTTCTCCACAGAGGCAAGTGCTGGGGCGAAGGTCCCACAGGTATCACCCCAGTTGCTGCCCCATTGCCATCATCACTCTGGCTGTTCTCCTCACCTTCCCCCTCTGCGCTCTCTGCAGGATGTCAGCAAACGCCTCTCCCTGCCCATGGACATCCGGCTGCCCCCTGAGTTCCTGCAGAAGCTGCAGATGGAGAGCCCGGAGTTCCCCAAGCAGCTCAGCAGGATGTCACGGCGAGCATCCCTCGTAAGTCACAGCACAGCATCTTGCTTTGTGCATACGAGATGTGTCTGTGCTGATTGCCACCCACCCATTGCAGTCGTGTCCCTCTGGAGCAGGGGTTGTTTCCCAGCACTCCCTTGCACTGAGACACACACGGTGCAAATCCCTTTCCGCATGCTCCCAGCGGTGCGCATTCCCGTGTACCCTGTGCATACACACACCTGTGCACGTGCACATCTGCACCTTTCCCCGTGCTACTCCTACATATGCAAATCCCCAGCCTGCACATTGCTCGCCTTGCACACACCTGGCTTCTCTCCCAGCCCTTTACCTTCCAGGGAAGAGGAGGTGGAGAACCTCCTGCAGTGCCGCAAGTGCTGGAGCCTCTGCTGATGGAAATGCAAATGTGGATAAATAATGAATTACCCCTTGCATTAATGCTGACATTTCAGTTTCTTGACTGCAGAGCATCAGCATACGTAGGAGCAAAAGCACAGTGCCCTGGTTGCAAATTGCAAAGGCACGTCCTGCTGCCCAGGAGCACACGGTTGTGATGGTGAGGTCTCAGCAGCACCTTCAGACGTGGCACTCCTGTTTGTGAGGAGGGAGGAAAGGAGAGAATGGCAGCTCCAGGAATTGCAGTTTGCCCCTGGTTTGGGGTCCTTTAGTGCTGGGAAACAACCCCTGCCATGGGATGTGAGTGACCCCAAGTGACCGAGATGGTGTCCCTGCAGAGCTGCAGTGTGAGGGATCTGCTAGGAGAGCCTTGCAGTGGTTGCCCATCACTGGGTACAGACAAGCAGGTCTCAGCAATACACCAATGAGTCCCAGTTCCAAATGGGGAAATGTCTCTTTCACACTTGACTGGAGGAGCACACAGAAGCAAAGGGAGTTGCAGCAAAGTGCAGCACGTAGGGAAGCACTCAAGAAAAGGGCAGGGCTTTGCCACAGGATCCCATCACGCTGCTCTGACACAAAGAGCATCAGCTGCTGCAGTTGGCTGTGATGGTGTTCTGGTGGATGCACACAGGATCCGTGCAGGACGTGATGGATTGTCCCCATAACAATTCCCTCCTGGTGTTCTCCATCCAGCCCAACACTGGTGAGATCCCTCCCAGTGATGTTGTCCTTTTTCTCTTACAGTCGGATATCGGGTTTGGGAAGCTGGAGACCTATGTTAAACTGGACAAACTGGGCGAGGTAAGGAGGTGCTGAGACCCCAACGAGGATTTAAAGGAAGTTGGAAGGAGTACGATTAATCACAAAATGGAAATCATGGGCTCCAGCCCTTTAGCTTGCAATGATCCTTCCTGCAGATGTTATGGAGCATGTCCCTGTTGTGCCACCCCCACAATGGGGCACCCACCTGCTCACCCCTCATGTCCTCTTTCTCCCCATAGGGCACTTATGCCACTGTCTTCAAGGGGCGCAGCAAGCTGACAGAAAACCTGGTGGCACTGAAGGAGATCCGCCTGGAGCACGAGGAAGGAGCTCCATGCACAGCTATCCGGGAAGGTGAGGGCTTGGAAAGAGGGGCTTATCCTGCCCCCAGCCCTTGGGGATGTCCTAGCTGGTACCCAGCTGTCCCAATCTGCTGCCTCCTGTCCCTACAGTGTCACTGCTGAAGAACCTCAAGCACGCCAACATCGTGACCCTGCATGATATCATCCACACGGAGCGCTCCCTCACGCTGGTCTTCGAGTACCTGGTGTGTTGGGGAGATGCTGTGGTTCTGACTGGGGAGTGGGGAGGGAGGGAACTGGAGGCTGATGGGTGCCTCCTCGTTGCAGGAAAACGACCTCAAGCAGTACCTGGATAACTGTGGGAACCTGATGAGCGTGCACAATGTGAAGGTGAGTCGGGCCTGGCTGTCCCTATGGGCGTCCTCAGCTTTGTGGGGTCTCCCCTGGCCCTGTGTTCTTGAGACAGCATCCTGGTGCTCACTGCCCACCCCCTGTGCCCCCCCAGATCTTCATGTTCCAGCTGCTGCGTGGCCTGTCCTACTGTCACGGGAGGAAGATCCTACACCGAGACCTCAAACCCCAGAACCTGCTCATCAATGAGAGAGGGGAGCTCAAGCTGGCTGACTTTGGTACATGGGGTGGGGAGGGCAGAGCATTCATGGTCCCATGGGGCAAACACACAGCTGGCAGCAGCTTTACAGCCCTTGGAGCAGGGAGGGGGAACCCATAAGCAGCCTGGGACATAGTTCTCCAGCAGTGATTTTTAACGTGCTGGGGTTGCATGGCTGTATTCTACCCGATTGAGAGCATCTCTGCACAGTGCTGTCCCATCCCTGAGCCTCTGCCCTGGGGAGGGTGCAGCACTGCAGGAAGGTGCAGCTTCACATCCCTTCTTCCACCTCCAGGCCTCGCAAGAGCCAAGTCGGTGCCTACCAAAACGTATTCCAACGAGGTGGTCACGCTGTGGTACCGACCCCCCGACGTCCTGCTGGGATCCACCGAATATTCCACCCCCATCGACATGTGGTGAGGCTGAGCGGAGCGGTGCGTTGGGTTCCCATCCATCCCATGGGATGGCGCTGCTCACACCGCGGGCGCTGGGTTCTCCACGGCTCGTTCTCTGTGTCCTCCGCGGCTCCATCTCGTCAGAGCCGGGTGGACGGGCACAGATCCGCATCCTGGAGCCCATTTCCCCCTGCCCTACCATGCATCCCATGGCTTTCCCCTCTCGCTGATGCCGCTTTTCCACCTCTGCCGTAGGGGCGTGGGGTGCATCCATTACGAGATGGTCACCGGGCGGCCCATGTTCCCCGGCTCTACGGTGAAGGAGGAGCTGCATCTCATCTTCCGGCTGTTGGGTGAGCGTGCTGCCGTGCCCCGAGCGCCCGCGGGAGGGCAGCGGTGACAAAGCGGAGCGCTGCGCTCCGGGACCGAGCGCTGAGCGCAGGGATGCCGCGCTTGTCCCCAATGAGGAGCAGCGCTGGGATGGTGAAGCTGTTGTTCCCGCAGCCGGTGACCACGTTTCACTTTCTCCCCTCCCCTTCTCCCAGGAACGCCGACAGAAGACACCTGGCCGGGGATAACGTCTAACGAGGAGTTCAAGGCGTACAACTTCACGCAGTACCGAGCGCAGCCGTTAATCAATCACGCCCCGAGGTATCCCGCCCCCCAGCACAGATCCGGAGGCATAGGGCAGCCTGGCACTGCTCCGAAATGGGAGCTGGGGGCACTGGGTTCATCTGCTGGATGTGATGCTGAGCGCAGCTGTGTGTGGGAGGTCCCAGTTCTCCCCGCATTTCTGCCTTTTGTTGATGATTGCAACGTCCCCCAGGTGCAACAGTGCTCCAGTTTGTATTTCTTTCTTTTCTCAGGTTGGACTCAGAAGGCATTGACTTGCTGATGAACCTCCTCCTGGTAAGCAACAGCGAGGTTCTGGTGGATGGTGAAGGGATGCCGTGTGCTCACCCTGATTTTGGGGGCAGGGAGAGGGGCTGTGACTGCAGCATAAGCCCTATCCACACAGCTGCTGTCCCAAACCCCCAGAGGGGCTCCCAGCTGTCCATTGGTGTGAGCAGGCACGCTGCAGACTGTGTAATAATTGCCTTTCTCTGGGCCTTTGTGCAGTATGAAGCCAAGAGCCGGATTTCAGCAGAGGTGGCCCTGCGGCATCCGTACTTCAAAAGCCTGGGGGAGCGGGTGCACCTCCTGCCCGACAGTAAGTGTGCACAGTCCCCTCACCTGGGGGCATGGAGCAGTGCTGCAGTGCAGCCCGAGGGCACAGGCAGCTCTGTGGTTGCTGCTTGCCTTTGCTTGAGTGCTCCTGCAGCAGTTGGGGTGGGAGAGCAAGGAAAAACTTGGGGCAGGGTGATGTAGAGCAAGAGGAACGCAGCGTTACGTTGCCATCCCTGCTGGCTGTGGCTCAGCCAACTGACCTCACTCTCTGTCCACTCTCCCAGATGTCTCCATCTTCTCTCTGAAGGAGATCCAGCTTCAGAAGGACCCTGGCTACCGAGGCTCAGCCTTTCAGCAGTCAGGTAGGATGGGGAAAGACGGCAGCATGCTCTCTGTGTGGTGCCATGGATCCTGCTGGCACCTTTGGGTACCCACAGGGAAAATCCAGACCTGCCCCGTGCTTCAGTCCCTGTCTCACCTATCTGACCCATCTCTCTCTCTCTTCCTCAGCCCGAGGGAAGAACAGGAGGCAGAGTATATTTTAAACCTGGACCTCATGTTCCCTTTGTCACCATGGAGATCAGTGCACTGAGAAAGGAGACGGCGATGCGCTCCTACCCGCCCCACTGCGTCGCTCAGCCCAGCAGGATGGAGCTGATGGCTCTCCCCACATCCCCCAGCAGCTGGTGGCAATGGACCTGTGGCCTTTTTCCCCTCTCATTCTCACGTTGTCCCTGTCAGCTGCCACCCCCTGTGCAGGTGCTGCACATCCCTCCTTGGAGCAGGGTCCTGCCCTGTGCTGGGGGAGCTGCTCGCCGCCTGTGGGGTTGAGCTGGGTGCAGGGAGGCTGTGTGAGCACAGGCTGGGGTCTGTGAAGCAGGAGCTGTGGCTGCATTGCATTCAGCCCAGGCAGGCAGCATCCCACTGCTCAGACAGCTTGCGTGCAGCCCCATCCCACTGAGAGCTGGGCATCCCCCAGCCTGGCACCAGAGGACTGCTGCTGGAGCACCAGCCCTGGGGCAGCCCTCCCTGCTGTGCCATTGCTTCTGCCTCTGTAACGCCTTCATCTCTGCCCATTGTTGGTACCTGAATCCAAGTGATGGCCTCACTCAGCATCCCCTCTTCTTGCCACCATTGCGTTCCCCAGTTCTGCTGCCATCACAAGAGATGGGATGTGATTCCCAGAGTGATTCCCAGCTGTTCACAGGAGCCTACAGCTGAACAGAGCCCTGCAGCATCACTGCATCCCAATGCACCGCAGTGCATTCCCCACCTGGAGGACCGGGGAGAGGTGCCAAACCTCCCCAGCTCAGCTGCAGGGACCAGAAATAGACCCACAGAACAGCAAACCAGCCCTCCCCACGTGTAGCCAACATCACACCAAGCAGCCCTGGCTCAGACCCACGCCGCAGGACCGAGGGGCACTGCTGGCCAAGGGCTGCTCCTGTGGCATTTTAACTGGACCTTGCCAAACCACTCTATGGAGGATGTGCCGATGTCCCAACCTGCCAGCATCCCAGGACAAGCAGTGCTCAGGGGACACTAACTCTGCCCACACCACTGTTTCTCCATGGAGAGGAATTGGAACTCTATTTTTCCCCCTGCAAATGCAAAGAAGAAAGGAGGAGAGCCCAGGATTCTCCAGTGCTCAGTGCACCGCACTCTGCGCTCCTCCTGTCAGCCCAAAGCTGTTAAGTTGGGTTTGTCCTAGACAAGCATCCAGACGTCTGCATTGTTTGAGGTTTGCCCATCCCTGCTTGGTTCCTTTCTCAGTATGTCCAGCATACAGCAGGCTGAATAGTTCATTAATTGTTTCCATTTGATAGGGAAGAGCATGAAGAGCCATCAGCCACCAGTGACGCGTTTCACTCTGATGTGAGGGTTGGGCTGTGCCTGGTTCCCTGCACCCTGCTTGGGCTGCACAGGGCTTTTCAGCAGTGGGGTTTACAAAAGGAAGTGCTGAGCTCACGTCGTCACCTTTCCTTTCATTAAGGTGTTTACATTGGGATTTTTCTGGGCACGATAGGGATCTGTGGTGCTTCCCAAAGCACCAAGGGCACAGATCTGGGCAAGTCCTGCTCTTGGGAAGCCACAACAGGACATGCATGACCTGTTCTGGCTTTACCAGCCCCGTGCCCTGAGGTTGTCTTGGACACAAAGCATGCCAGGGCAGAGGAAGCCTTGCTGATCCTTTAATGGGAGGACAAGGCAGAGCTGTGGGAGCAAGGCAGAGCTCACTGCTGCTTGGCAGATCCCTTGGGAACCAATGTCCCCATTGGGAATCAGTGTCCCCATAGGGCAGACATCTCCAAGGTGCAGCAAGGTGACCCATGGAACGTGAGCACGCAGACAGCTCTGCTTTATCTGCAATCAGATAAGGAAGACAAAGAGCCTGCTGGCTGCTGTTTGCTCTTTCACAGCCTTTGCCTTTCCTTCTCCAAGACAGGAGATCTTTGTGTGGAGGCAGTGTTATTTATTTGCCCCATGCATGACCAGCAGACTGCGTTTCAGATAACCCCTTTTGTTCTGCTGCTTTTCATGGGTATTGGATTCCTATTCAGGAAGGTGATAAAGTGCATAAATATTTGGTGCCCCATTGAGCAAGCTGTGATGTGTGCACTGCTGCTGTGCGTCCCAATGCCAAGAGAGGGAGATCAGCAAAGTCCCCCCAACCTGCACAGGGTCAGCATCTCACTATGGTGTAGGGATCCATATGGGTTCAGGTCAGCATCTCACAATGGTGCAGGGTCTGTATGAGTTTGGGTCAGCATCCCACCATGTTGCAGGCTGCATATGGGTTCAGATCAGCATCCCACAAGAGTATGAGGTCCATATGGGTTCCTGAAGACTGCAAACCCCCAGTGCTGGGGATGGAGACACACAGTTTGCTCCCAGCTCTGCCCAGTGCTGGAGCACCAGCTGCCTAAAGCAGCGCTGATGAAAACACTGCAAATGTCTGTGGCTTTCTGGAATTTATTTTCTTTTCCATTTTGTGGCACCCAGCGTGGCTTGGGAGCTGTTGTTTTGTCTTCCAGGCATTATTTTCTTGCATTTTTTTTATTCTTTTTCCTACCAATTCTGCCTGCACAGTGGGGAAAGGCTGCATTGCTTTGCGCACTCAGCAGCTCCGGTCCGCGCACTGCTCCTGCTGTGGTTTTGTATTTCCATCAGTCAGAATTGAGGGCAGTACAGGTGGGATGCATCACAGGAACAGCTTCAGCCCCATGTCCTGCAGCAGGAAAACTTGTCCCAGAGTGCTCAGGTTCCCACTGTGAGCATCCCCTGGTGCGCTCCGTTTGCAGGATGCCGATGGCCGTACCGTTGTATGAATGGAAGATGTGTTTTAAAAGAAGTGTTTTTAAAAGATTTATTCCAAGAAAAAGCAATTTTTTTTTTTTTTTCTTTTATATGTATATATAGAGAGAGAGAGAGACAGAGGGAGAAGGTTTTTTTTCTGGAATAAATGGAAAAGTGCAAAGCAAAAAGGAATAAAAGGCTGCGCCCATCGATCAACCATGTGTGTGTTTCATACAAAGACTTCAGTTGTTGCATGTCAGCTTTGGCATGGCCCATCCTGGGGCTTTGCTTCTGTTACAGCTGTACTGTGAGTGCTCCACAGCCAAAACTGGGCAATGAACTGTGTTGGTTGGTTGTGGGGTGTTTGTATGCGATGTGATTTTGCTCTCTTCTGTTTGGTAGGAGAAGGCTCTGTGTTGACCCAAAGTGAGTTTCCTTCCCTGTGACCTTTAAGAAGGCTGAAACCCAAAGCCGGAGGGGCTCGAGCACAATGGGAATGTGTTCCTGCAGTCCCTTACGTGGATCCTAAAGCCCTGAACAAATATTGCCACAAGTTAATCAGGCTGATAAAAGAGCTCACTTGTGCCCGGCCCAAGGCTGCAAAGTGACTCAAGGGCAATGCCAGCGCATGGATGAGGGAGTGCTGTTCCCCAGTGCTTTGGCACCTGAAAGTCCCTGGGACTTGGGCTATTCAGCATGGCAGTCCCCTATAGGTATCACTTCTCTGTAGCCCTACAGCCATTGGGAAGATGTGGGAAGGGCCTGAAACGGAGCGCTGGGGGAACTTTGGGGCTGTGGTCCCAGGGCTGCCCCTACAGCAGCACCCATCTGCCTGAGTCACAGCAGGGCCGGGCAGCACAGGGGTTGCTCCTCCCTCATCCCATAGCACTGGGGAATGCAGCCAAGCAGCCTCAGCCACATCCTCCACCCATAGGCACAACACAGCCGGATGCACCCAGATGGCACCAGCTCATCCCATAGGGCATCCTCGTGCCCTGCAGCTGTGTGTGAGCCCTCTCCGGCTGCACCATAGCTCTTTTGGGGCTCTCAATGTTCCCAAGTGTGACCCAGAAGGGCTCTGTACTGCATTGCATTGGCACAGTGCAGGAGGAAGCCCTGCTGATCCCAGCCCAACTGGACTGGGTGTGTGGGGTGATTTCAGTTGGTAGGAAAACACGCAGCTCTTCCTCCTCCCCGACACGTGTCTGCACTGCACCAAGAGCTCTGCAGTGTGCCTGACCTCACAGCAGTGCCAGCTGCTTTGCCTTGCACTGTTTTGGCACTGCTGGCTGTGCTGTGCATGGGGTGAGCACCTCCTCATGTCTCTGCAATGCTTCATCCCAGAGCATCCTAACAGAATCACAGACTGGCCCGGGTTGGAAGGGACCTCAAGGATCATGAAGCTCCAACCCCCCTGCCACATGCAGGGCCACAAATTTCCACATTTAATACTAGACCAGGTTGCTCAGGGCCCCATCCAACTGGCCTTAAACACCTCCAGGATGTAGCATAGAAGTAATACCAATACAACAGCTAACACGAGCAAAACCTTCCTTAGGGAGCAATCAGACCAGAGCAGAACCGACCAAAGCAAAAATGCAATTACTCCACTGGCCAAACAGAACCAGCTCATTTGATGTGAAAAATTGGAAAGAATGCGTGAGCACACAGGAAGCAAAAGGTGTTCCTCAAACCCTGCTCACATCCCTTTGAGCAGCTCCAGCTTGGAGACGCTGCTGCTCGGCGGTTCACTCATTCACTCTGCACTTTGCAGAGAGGAGGGTGTTTAATTCATTGCAAGCACAACATTGGCTTCAGTTTGGAAAACAGCCCAAAATGCCTCTTCACAAAGCTAATTCTGGTCGCACACACTCAGAGCCCCACAGCTTGCATTTTTATGAGCTCCCTCTGTGGATCTGTGGAAGGATCTGTGCGTTCTTGTGCTGACAAACCCACCCACGCTGCATTTTTTATTTGCAAGCAGATCTTGCATGGTTTGTGTTAGCTCTGATGGAATGGGTTGATATTCCTGGAACCGGCCTTTATGGCATTGCTTTGCAAAGCAGGGCTGGGGCTGCCATGGGGCTGTGCTGCCAGGGGGTTGGGATGCAATGGCTTTGCCCAGGTGTGGGAACTGCTCAGCTCTGTCACAACACAAAGCCCAAAGAGCTGAGCTGATGCTGTTGGGTTATGGTGAGCCAGCAACGAAGGCAGGAGCAGACCATGGGTCTCCTGCCCATCTGGTACCCAGGAATTGATCTTTGCTGAAGATGCTGTCTGACCATCCATAACCTCCTTGTTTGCCACCTGGAAGCAAGAAAACAGAGCTCTCCAAATCAGTGGTTGCTGTCAGCAGGAGGGATGTAATCATTTCAGATGCTGTAAAACCAGAATACTCCCAAGCCCTCCTACTGAACTTGAGGGTATGCATTAAATATCTTATTCCATACTGAGCAGTTCCACACAAGCCCCTCCAGCCCCATGCCCAACGAGCCTTCAGTTTTCTCACTGATGAACCACTTAACAGCATTTCTCCACCTCTGGCCACTGAGCTGCTCTGTGGCTCCTTGGTTGCTGCTGGGCACCCACAGATGAAATCAGGGCTCCATCCCCCACCTGCTCTGTGGTGCTGCCCACACTCAGTAGCTGCCCTCCTTCCCCTGGAGGTCACCTGCGGATGCCATGGAGGTGGCAGAACTGGGGCTCGGATGCAATTTGAATTAGCTAAACATTAAGCTATGTCCAGGTGGAAATGAGCACCTGTGACCTGGAGCAACATTCCTGAAATGTGGGTCACGGGATGGTGAGTACAGCTGTGGGGTTCTGGAGCAGCTCTACCCACAGCTCAGCTCTGGCGATTCTGCTTTGCCTGGAAAGAGCAATCTAAAAATTGCAGTCCTTCCCTAAAGTAGGTGAAATATTTATAATCTCAGCCTCTAGAGGAGACCTTTTGCGTAAGCATCAGCCGCTCCAGCTCCAAAATGCACACACTCCCACAGCTCATCTCACCCTTCTTATCCACAGGAGGAGTGCAGGCACCTTTAATTGCATTTGTCTGGAGCGGTTGTCTTTATTTACGGCGCTCAGGCAGCAGAGCGAGGGCTTCAGCGGCTGCTTTGCTTTCTGTTGTGTTGGATGCAATCTGAGCGGTGAAAAGCTCGGGGCGAGCAGTGGGAGCTGCCCACCTCTTTCTGGGTGAGATGCTGCTCCACCCCACCTCGAGGTGATGCTGGAGGTGGCGGTTCGGCCGGTTCTCTCCCCCCTCCCACGGGGATGCGCCGAAGTCTCGTGGGGCTCCGGGTGGGCTTCGTGGGTTCCGTACCGCACCGCCCGCCGGAGGAAGGCTCCGCCCGGCCCCGGGAGGCGGCGGCGGTCCCCGGTCCCGGAGGCGGAGTCAGCGACCGGCGGGCTTCGGAGCCACAGCCCGGAGAGGAGGAGCGGGGAGCGGGGCGGCGGCGGGGCCGGGCTGGGAGCGGGGCCGGGCGGTGCGGGAGCCGCATCTCCGCGGGCCGCCCCGCGCCGCCGCCCAGGATGTGGTGGGACGAGCGGGTATCGGCTCGGTTCCGGAGGAACCTGCAGCCCACCCTCACCTATTGGAGCGTCTTCTTTAGCTTCGGCCTCTGCATCGCCTTTCTGGGGCCCACGCTGCTGGACCTGCGTTGCCAGACGCAGAGCTCGCTCTCGCAGATCACCTGGGTCTTCTTCTCGCAGCAGTTCTGCCTCCTGCTCGGCAGCTGCCTCGGAGGGGTCTTCAAGAGGACGTAAGGGGCTGTTCTGCTCTGGGGGGTGGGGGAACAGCGCTGCCCCTTCGGGTCCGTGAGGCTGAGACGGGCGCGGAGATGCGGGACGGAGGGATGGGGCTGCGGGGCGGCTCCGCTCCCACCCGCACGGAACGGCGCGATCCCCGCAGCTCGGGACGGGGACGGCGAAGTTGAAGTGAGAACTTCCTAGACGATGTTTTCCAAATCGTGGATCGAGGGCGTTGCGTTGACCCGGTCTGATAACCCCGGGGTCGGGATGTGATACCCAGCGGGGGGTCGCTGGAATAACCCACCCCTATCCCATTCTCCGGGGTGTCTTTAGAGCAAATAACGCCCAAGGCTCAGCCCTAAGGGTTGCCAACTGTATTTGGTCTGATGTGTGATGGGCAGCTGTGCTGTAGGGCGAATCAGCTGATTATTTACATTGTTGGTAATTGTTTGGGCTGTGGCGTAACGCACCTCCATGTGCAGACGTCTCCATACGTCACACATGTATATATTTAACAGGCACGTAAAGGAATCTTGCATAAGTGCTTCACTTCTGGAAGGCACCCGTTTGGAAACGCTTCGTTAAACTCTTGTCTCATGAATTGAGAAGGGAACTGAGTGGGAAGTGTTGGTTGGTGAAGGTGGCACTGGGGCACCAACAGATGTTGTCCCACTTCATGAGCTGTCCCAGCACTCCTCACCCCAGAGAAGCTGCTGAACGAGGGGCTGAAGTCCTGGAGCAGCATAACGATGGCCCAAATCCCTCTGCAACATTTTGGTTGCCAGGATGAACTCCAAAATTCCTGCTAGCTTTCAAAGAAGAAACTTTCTCACCAAAAAAAACCAGCTGATGTTTGCAGTGCTCGGTGCCCAGCAGCTGCTTTGCTTGGTGGGATGGCAGAGCAGCCCCCACTGCTGAGGTGCTCACAACGTGCTCTGCTCTCTGCAAACTCGTGCTTGGGGTTTTGCTGAGCTGTAGTTGCAGCTCTGGCTCAGAACTCAACTTTTCATGTGGTGCTGTGAAATCATTCCCTTGCACGAGTGGGGATGGGGTCTGGGGCTCAAAACAACTCCTGGACTTGGGATTCACAGTGAGAGCTGAGCCCTCAGGTGGACCCATCCTGAAGCATTGCAAAATCCATGCGTGGGCTCCACGCACCTGCATCCCCTCTTGCATTCCTCACCTTTACTTCTTTCATTTGGTTGGATGTTATGCTTGCCTTGTGAAGTTATGCTCCCTCCTTGCTGCTGTGCCATGTGCACTTGTGACAGAAGCAGCGTGGTGACCAAGTGCACATGTGCCTCAGTTTGTTTTTTCCCCATCCTGAAGCTGAATTTTTGATTTTGCTCCTAG